CAGTGACCGAGGGCACCCGCTGCTGCCGCCAGGAAATGTACATTGACCTGCAGGGGATGAAGTGGGCAGAGAACTGGGTGCTGGAGCCCCTGGGCTTCCTGGCTTATGAGTGTGTGGGCACCTGCCCGCAGCCCCCGGAGGCCCTGGCCTTCAAGTGGCCGGTTCTGGGGCCGCGACAGTGCATCGCCTCAGAGACTGCCTCACTGCCCATGATTGTCAGCATCAAGGAGGGAGGCAGGACCAGGCCCCAGGTGGTCAGCCTGCCCAACATGAGGGTGCAGAAGTGCAGCTGTGCCTCGGATGGGGCGCTCGTGCCAAGGAGGTTTCAGCCGTAGGTGCCTGGAGGAACTTGACCTGTGTGTGTTTCTGAAGTGTTCTAGGGCACCAGGAGAGCTGGTGATGACTGAACAGCTGATGGACAAATCTCTATGATCTCTAGTGAGCCCTGAATTTGCTTCCTCTGACAAGTTACCTCACCTAGTTTTTGCTTCACAGGAATGAGAATCCTTGGCCACTGGGGAGCCCTTGCTCAGTTTTCTCTGTTCATATAATTCACTGCACTATATTCTAAGCACTTACATGTGTGGAGATACTGTAACCTAATGGCAGAAACCCTAATGTGTCATTGTTTTCTTGTCCTGTCACTGGATCATGGCTAAACTCCTTCACCACCACTCTGGGTCTAAGACCTGGGGTTAAGTGTGGGTTGTGCATCCCCAGTCCAGATAATAAAGACTTTGCAAAACATGAATAAAACACATTTTATTCTGTAATTTTGTAATTTTCTAAATTTTGTAATTTTCTAAAACTTCCTTAGTTTTACAATCAGGTCAACCTGATTATAAAACTAAGGAAACAGCCTGAGTTGGCCAAGAGTTGGTAAAGATCTTGGTTACGTAATACAGGAAACTAGGATTAAAACACTTTCAGGGCCAATGCAATGGCTCATGCCTGTAATCCCAGCACTCTGGGAGGCCAAGGTAGGCAGATCCCTTGAGGCCAGGAGTTCAAGATCAGCCTGGCCAACATGACAAGACCCTGTTTCTACTAAAAATACAAAAATTAACTGGGTGTGGTGGTGCACGCCTGTAATTCCAGCTACTTGGGAGGCCGAGGAATGAAAATTGCTTGAACCCAGGAGGCAGAGGTTGCAGTAAGCCAAGATCGCATCACTCCACTCCAGCCTGGGCAACAGAGCGAGATTCTGTCTCAAAAATAAAATAAAAAATAAAATGCATCCCGATTCTAGTATCTGTGGTGTCTGTCCTCTCAGAATTGATATAGAAATCTTTTTGCTCTTGATACTTTGACTTTCCTGGGCATAGCTACTGGGCTTTATTTCAATTCTACTTGCATCAAAATAAAATCTGTGATCAAAATCATCATCTACACTTAATAGAGAAGAAAATGAAGCTTTGAAGGATCTGGAATGTATAGCTAGCTGTAAGAGCTGTGCAGACTAGCAAAGAAGCCAAGATGTCCAAGAATGTGAGTCACTCCCTTGATTTTGAGCAGACAAAAGGAGCAAATGTCCATAAGGTTGGATATAACATGTTAGAATGCCAAGATTATAGGGGCTTTTAAGCTGTAAACTTGACTCAGGGTCTCAGCCTGAGACATGGACATCTTGGCTTCCTTGCCAGTCTGCACAGACAGCTCTTATTAGCTGTAAATTCCAGATTATCTAAAGCTTCATTTTCTTCTCTTTTTAATAGAAACAATACTGACTTTCATACTTTTACTGGGGATTTAAGAAAATAGTCATTTTTGGCTGGGTGAGGTGGCTTATGCCTTTAATCCCAGCACTGTGGAAGGCTGAGATCAGTGGGTCACCTGTAGTCAGGAGTTCAAGACTAGCCTGGCCAACATGATGAAACATCGTCTCTACTAAAAAAAAAAAAAAAGCTGGGCATGGCGGCACACTCCTATGATCCCAGCTACTTGGGAGGCTGAGGTGGGAGGATCATTTGAACCCAGGAGATGGAGGCTGCAGTGAGCCAAGATCATGCCACTGCACTCCAGCCTGGGCAACAGAGACTGTCTTAAAAAAGAAAAAAAATAAAATAGTGATTTTACAAGCACTTCACAGAACTGACATAACAAAGGCTGTGACTATCTCAACTCACATTCTGATCCATCAAGATCTTTCCTTGATTTTGAAGTAAACTTAACCTACTCAAGAACAAATTTAGAAATCCTTTTTCTCTCTGAAATCTTTGTCAGTGGCTCCAGCATTCTAACTACCAAGACTGGAACGCACTTGCCTGGACCCATGGCACAGATCAGACAGGTGGGGGCACCATTTATTGAGACAGGGAAGGGAGGAGGACAGGCAGGTCCGGGAGTGGGGAGTGGAAAGAAGATTGGACAGGGCCAGTCTGAGGAGCCAACGGGGAGTCCAGGGGCCACACCCAGGACCCTGCAGAAGGTCAGATGTGGGGTCCTTGGCAGGAGGTAAGAGAGCAGGGAAGGGAGATGGCCAGGTGCAGCTACACAGGGACAAGGGCAGAGATGATCCTGGGGTGGGGGTCACAGAGGAAAACTGGGAACTAACTAGTGGCTAGAGGTTTCAGGAGAGAAGGAGGAAGCCAGATGGGACAGAAAAGAACTGAGAGAGGCAGGAAGAGACCCTCCCCACCCCACCCCCGGACAGCCAGAGACTGGCGCTAGAATCAGGGACAGGGAGGTGAGGAGGATATTTTTACAACGTTACAGAAAAAGATGAAAGCTCAGAAAAGGAAGAGAGGTCGGAGAACCTGCAAATCTGTGCATGCGGGGTGAGAACTGCTCAGAGTCCAGAGAGATTTGGTGCTGGAAAGGAACCGGGAGGAAGCTTTGGTCCAATCGCTGATTTCAAAGAGAGGGAAACCGGGACCTGCAGAGGGGGCGGTCTGCTCCTTGATGCCCAGGGCGCGCGGTCCTCCCGGAACCCCGCCTCGCTTCTTGCGCAGCGCACAGCAGCGCCTTGCGCGGCGGGCCGGCCTTGCCCTCGCGTGCTTGCTGTCCAGTTGCAGAGGCCACCGGCTCCCTGGAAGCACCTTGCCCCGGGCCGGGAAGGCAAGCCGCGCTCTCAGAGCTGGGCTGGAGTCGGTGCCCTTGGCGGCCCTGGCTCGGGCAGTAGCTGGCTTGGCCCCAGGGAGCGTTGGAAATGCTGCGACCCCCATTTTTGCCCGAACAGAGACCCTCCGGGCATTCACGGTCCGGCCTTCTACAGCGGCAGGGAAGCCGCGGCCTCTTGCAGGGCGCTCCGCGCGGTCCCCGACTGCCCCGAGCCGAGGAGCGGGCTAAGTCTGGCTGAGCTCCTCATGCTGCCACCCCGCCACCCCGACTTCCCCGGGACGGGCCTGAGAGCTCCTCGGGTAAATTCAAAGTACTACAGGGACCAACGTTTGCAGATGCTCTCCCTGCGCCGCGACCACCCTGTGCTTGGCCCGGGTCTCCCGGAGGCGTCCAGAGACTGGGCTCGTGTCCGGACAAGGAAGAGGGTGCGCCCCGGCGGATCCCTTCTCGGCTCCTGGACGTGAGCTGGCCAGGCCGGGGCTTGCAGACCTCCGGGAGCAGCTGTGGGGCTGAGCGGCGACCAGGGGGCCGAGGACCGCGGGGACCACCGCGGCACGCGCAGTCGGCGGCGTCCAGGCTCGCGCCGGCGCAGGGGAAGGCTCCAAATTGGGCAAGCGGTGGACGCAGCTCTGCGCATGTGCAGGAGACGCCGGAGTTTCACTTCGTAACTTTTAAGTGGTCGGAACACGCCCCGCCCGGCCAGGTCCCGCCAGACACGCCGCCGCCGCAGGTACAAGGGACAGGGGGTGTGAGGAGGGGGAATGTCGTCCTCCGCCTTTCCCGGGACGCGCGGGGCCGGGTCCACTCCGGGGTGCGCGCCAATGTCTGTTTCCGGAACGGCTCCTAGCCTCAGCAGACCCCAAACCCCCCGACCCCAAGGAGGGGGTGACCACGCTGGATTGGGTGGGAGGAGAGGGTCAGGGCAGGGGACCCCGCGCCCCCATTCCAGCCCCGCGCTCCTTGGGACTTCCTGGCGGCTTTTCAGGCCTTCCCTCCCTGAGGCTCCAACTTTTCGCTTTAAGGGCTGGTGCCTCCTTCCCCACCCCTCTCTTTGGGATTTGTCAGCGGAGTCCGACCTCCCACCTAACTAGGAGCGCAGCCGTGAGCTCCTTGGACCCTGTGCGAGGCCAGGCTGGGAAAGGGCCAGGCGTCCGAGTCTCCTAACACTGGGAAGGCGAGGCCCCCTTCGGGCTGTCCCTGGATGACCACTTCCTGCAGCCTTGGCGGAGTCCAGAGGAAGGAGGCTGGAGACTTGCGGACTCGGGGACTGGGGGACTGGGGGGAAGGGCGGGGGCGGGAAAAGTGGGGCGAGCTCTGCTAAGAAACTAAATCCGCAGAGGTTCCAGCACCTGATAAGACTCGGTACCTGAGGCCCTGGAGGGGCCTCAGTCATTATGTCCCAGGCAGGTGGTGTTCTCAGGGGCAGGGTTGGACAGAGTGGTGGACCCGCTGACCCTCCCCTGACACCTGTCAGGTCATCCTCAAGTCTGCTGTGCCTTCAGGGGGATATGAAGGGAAGCCAAGGCTCCTTTGTTTAGTGTGGGGGCAAAAGTCTCTCCTGGCCGTTCACTGGGATCTAACAGAGAAGACGCCAGGTGGGTCCTGCCCTTGTGTTTCCCATTAGCTGGAGGGCTGACTTAAAATAAAGGCAGACAGCTCCCAGTTGCTTGCCAGGGCCTGGCTAAGTGCTTTACAGGTCTTGTTTTGGGTGTGTGCCTCCCAACAGCCCCATGAGAGAAAGTCACCACTTGCATTTCCTGGAGAAGGTAGCCAAGGCACAGAATGGTTAGGCGGCTTGTTTGAACTGCCTGCTGCTGAGACCTTAACGCCAGCCTGCTCGCAGAATCCCTGAGCCACACTGCCTCTCGTTTCAGCCAGGGGCTGTGTCATTCCCTTTGTGCTCGGGGATAGAGGTAAACAGTTGTCCAGGTTACAGGGTCTTTTCGGTGTGGCCGTAAGGAGAAGTTTGTACTTTACTTTGCAATCTTATTGTGCATCTGAAAGACCAGAGTTAGCTCCTGAGGCGAAGCCTGGAGCTGCTTGTAGTTTTGATCTCATCACCATAGGATTGAAAGATTTGGTGATAAAATTACCCTGAATTTGTACAGGGCCTTCTTGCAAGAACCAACAATATCCACATACTTCCTGCAACATTCTGCTGGCATTTCTAGAGCTCATCACATTGGCCTTCATGCCAGTCCTTGCCTGGTGGAGACTGGTAGTGGGTTAGCACTGGTGGTTGACTTTGGCAAATTCACACCAGCTGTTGGATTTAGCCCTGTCCCTCCTGCTTCCACAATCAGACGCTTGGGTGCACCTGGGCTGAACTTTGGGTTGGAAGAGTGAGGTCACCTGCTGGCCACTCTGGCTCTTGGGCCTCAGCAGTTCTTGGCTTTACTACCCTCAGCATATTGGCTAGGAATATGGGCCGAATGGAGAATTTTTGGAGGGCACAGATAAGTGCTGGGCATTCACACACATCTAGGATGACTGAATATTGCCAAGGGTTCTCACTCAGGTGTTGCCACTGCAACCACAGTGCCTGGTTACTGGTTTGGCCTCCTCCACATCCTGCCAGCTGGGTGTTCCCCTCCCCCTGCCTTCTCAGCCTGGCAGCGCTGCCCCATGGTGGCTGTGTTCCCAGCTGCCCTTGGAGAGCGTGCCTGTTTGTGAAGATGCAGAGGAGCTGTCCCGCTGAGAGCCAGAGGGACGGAGCTGTTTCAGTGGTATCCAGACTTTAGGTGTCTAATGGGCAGGGACAGGCTGGGACTGAGCTTAAAGGTCTGAGAGAGACTGTGGATCCCCAGAGCTGTGCCCTAACCTGGGTGCTCATTGGAGAGGGCAGACAGGACTGGCCACCTGGCCTTACCTCCATCCCAGACTTATAGTATTTGCCAGCTATCTCCCTGAGTTGTTATTAAACTTTGTCAAACGACCCTGGGGAGCCGATTTGGCAAAAGGAGAGTTACTTAGAGGCATGACTGGGCCTGGAGGGGAAGAGAAGTGGCGGGTATTTTTCCCTCCGAGGAGGCCTCTCTCTGCAGCTCTGGCGAGGGTGTGCCACTCCCAGCACCTCCACAGTACCCTCCCCTTTCCAGGGACAATGCTCCCTCTGTGAGCATCTTATGGGGATGTTTTTTCTTTCCACTTCACTTTTGAAGCCTTCCTTGTTTATGCTGCTGTGTTCCTTTTTCCTGATTCTAACTCTTGGGAAGCCTTGGGGAGACTCCCTAGCAGCGCTAGCCCTCAGGGCCCACGTGAAGTCCTTTGCTTGGGGTCCTACTGTGAGCCCACAGCCTCCAGGGCTTCTGTGGGAGAGGGCTGCTCTGTTAGCCACCGAAGGTCCTTGACCATTGGTGAAGAGGAGAGAGGCTGGGGCCGCAGGTGGTGCAGGCCAAAGAAAGAGGAGTCCAGTTGCACAGAGGAACACTGACGATGGAGAAACAGTTCTGGGAGTTTGGGGAGAGATTAGGCAGGAGGGAGCCCACTGGGCAGAACCTAAAGCTCAGTATGGGCGGCATGTGTGCAGGGACATGTGCTGGAGGGTTTCCATCCAGACCACTAACTGGAAAGGGGTGGCTCCCATGTGATGCTAGGTGTCTGTGATCCTTCAGGAAAGTGTACAGGCTGGTACCCCAGGACCCACTGCTCAGGAAGGCCTGGTAGGAAATGAGTGTTGGGACTGAGGCCTGGCCCTTGGCAGCTTGGAAGTTGGCTGGGGCTGCTTTTGCCTTTGCCAGAGACAGCTCCAACTGAGGACCCCTCCAACGGGCCCTTGGCAGTTCTTCCTTCCCCTGGCATCTGGTAAGTTTGGGGGCAGGTGTTGGCCTGGAAGTGTTGGGCTGGGGTGTTCCATTGGGTGGTGCCACTGGGTGGGGTGTAAAAGGAAGCCGAGAACATCTGTGTTCCAGAGGCCACTTTTGTGACTCTGTTCAGAGCCAGCAGCTCCGTGACTCTGGCGTCACAACCCCCACTGCCTCCAGCCGTTGCCAAGTCTCTTAGAAGGTCGAGAAAGTGACTTGGCATTCTGAGGGATGCTCCCATGCCCTTGGGCCTTCCACTTATTCACCCTTCTTGTACTTCCGGTCGTGTGTGTCTCTGTGTGCATGTGTAGGTGTCCGTGTGTGATTGTCCCCAGCACTGAAGGCCCAGGGCTTTCCCAGCGCACACCCCACCAGCACTACTAGGTATCCAAACATCTGTTTGGGTTCTCTGTATCTTTTCTTCTTGTCCTCAAGATCTTTGTCCCCGTAACAGCTAGAAGGACCAGACTTAGCAGAAATCTCCTGGGAATTCTAGTTTCACCAGATTTGGGCAGGTGGGAGCTTAAGCAAGGCCAGGCTGAACATGTCTTCTGGCCCTTCACCCACAGCATGAGAAGCTGGCCAGAACTTGGACAGTAACTCCCGGGCCTCTGGTGTCAGGGGACAGACACTGGAGATTTCCATTAGCTTCACCAGGGGTGCCAGGAGCCTTGGGAAGGAAGATCTGCAACCCAGCCTGGAGCAGTGTTTGCTTTGGAAATGCTGGGCCTTGCAGTTAGACCAGTGGTACCCAGGAGGTGTATGTGTGTGTGAAAGGGTGGAGCTGGGGGACCCAGAGGTCCCTGAGGAGGCCCTGAGACTCCCGACTCCCTCCCCCTTTCTACCCTAGATAACTCCCTTTGTTTTCTCCTCTGCGACAAAGTAAAAAGAGGAACTGGCATCTAAGAGTCAGCACACTGGGTTTGGGATTCAATTCTGTCCTGACCAGCTCCTTAACCTTGGGGCAGGTTATTAAACCTCTGAGCCTTAATTTCCAAGTATAGCAGATGGGCCCATTTCTGGGGTTCCAGCTCTGACATTCTGTGATTAGTGGGAGTGAGGTGTTGTCTGCGGCTCGTGTGGATGGACCATTGTGAATACTTGGATGTTCCCTTCTTCCCTGTTTGTTTATCCCTGTTTTTCTCTTCCTGCCTTTTTGTCCTTTCTCCCTCTCCCCTGCTTGTACTCCAGATCTGTCAGTGGCTTCTGCAAGAGTGATTTTCCCATCACGAGTCCCTGAGGCTAGAGAAACTTCAGGACCTCTTAGGCCAGCAGCTGCAGCAACTTCTGTTTCTCTCTTTCTCCATGTCACCCCCTCTGGGGATCTGCCTGCTGTGTCCTGGGTGAGCCATTCACCCTGACTATCTGATTCCCCGGGACTGTCCCACAATGGAGCCATTCTCTGTGGACACTGCCAGGCACGCAGAGGTCCAATGTCTGGCTCCCCCGGACTCCTTGCTGCTGGCTCCCTGTGCCCCACCAGTCCCTGGGGAAACGCCCACATTTGGCCCTGCCAGCACTGGTGGGAAACTGTAAGAGATTCAAGCCCTGAACATCTGCCTTGTTCTGTTGCCCTGTGCTCCAGGGAAGACAGGCACGATGACAGACTCTCCATTCCTGGAGCTGTGGCAGTCCAAGGCGGTGACCATCCGTGAGCGACTGGGCCTCAGGAACCAGCTCAACGACTCCTACTGCTACAACTCGGCCAAAAACAGCACCGTGCTCCAGGGGGTCACCTTTGGTGGCATCCCCACTGTCCTGCTCATAGACGTCAGCTGCTTCCTGGTGAGAGCCCTCATGAATCATGTCCCCCAGCCTCAGTTATTTGTATAAATCTCCCATGCAGGGCCTTCTGGGAAACTTAGATAAGAAGTTAGACATAGGTAGGTTTAAATCCCACCTCTGCTGCTTACCAGCTCTGTGACTTGGGCATGTTACATAGCTTGTGTACACCTCCCCTTTTTGCTCTGGAAAATGGAGATCATAATTCCTAACTCAGAGAATTTTGGAGATTAAATAAGGCCATGTGTGTAAAATACTCACATAGCCATGCCTGTAATTATTACCATGATTGCAGAGCTCTCAGCCTGTCCTGTCTTTAAGTACCTTGGGAAGGGTCATCTCATGGGGTTGAGTTGACAGATGTGAATGGAGAATATGGATTAGAATTAGAGCAGCTGCGATTCCCAAGTGTTACCTCTTGTTCCCCTCTGGCATCCCTGGGGTTTTTAAAGAATCAGAAGCCCAGGTGCGGTGATTCACACCTGTAATGTCAGCACTTTGGGAGGCTGAGGCAGATGGATCAGGAGGTCAGGAGTTTCAGACCAGCCTGGCCAACATGGTGAAACCCTGTCTCTACTAAAAATACAAAAATTAGCCTGGCGTGGTGGCATGCATCTGTAGTCCCAGCCACTCCGGAGGCTGAGGCAGGAGAATCGCTTGAACCCAGGAGGCGGAGGCTGCAGTTAGCCAAGATTGTGCCACTGCACTCCAACCTGGGTAACAGAACAGACTGTCTCAAAAAAATAAAAGAATCAGAAGCTGATTCTCAGAGCATACCCTCAGCAGGTAGTCTTTCTTTAAGGTAGATCTCCTTGTTCACAAGGATGCCTCCAATTTGAAATATGTCATTGTTCTTCCTTATGCAGACTGAACATTGACGGGCTGAGATTTATTGGGGTTAAAGTGCCCCTCTTTTCATAAATGCCGTGGGCTGGCCAGTGCCTGTCAATGCTGTCTCCTAACATGTAGCAGAGACCATCTGAGTGAAGGGGGCAGGTGGCTCTGATGGAGTAGATACCCTTGGACTGCTTGGAGCTGGAGACTAGGCTTGGGTGGGGAATGTGGGGAGGGTGGCTTGGGATAGCAGGGAGGAGTGGGCAGGGGTATGGGGGTGGATTTCAGAGTCGATGGGATTAGAGGAGGGTGGCCCTGGGTGTTCCGGATGGGGAGAGTTTGGCCAAGGTGAGTACAGAAGGGGGCCTGGGCAGGGGCCCGAGGTGGGTTGGGTGGGCATTGTTGCAACAGTGTTGGTTGAGAAGAGAGTCACTCTCTACTGGAGTGTGTTGGTGAAGGGGAATTTTTTTTTTTTGAAACAGTGTTTCACTCTGTCCCCCGAAGTACGGTGGCACAATCACTGTTCACTGCAACCTCCTCGTCCTGGGCTCAGCAATCCTCCCACCTCAGCCCCTTGCACAGCTGGGACTATAAGCACGTGCCACCATGTCTGGCTAAATTTGTATTTTTGATAGAGATGGGGTTTCACCATGTTGCCCAGGCTGGTCTCAAACCCCTGAGCTCAAGCGATTCAACAGCCTTGGCCTCCCAAAGTGCTGGGATTACAGCAGTGAGCCACTGTGCCTGGCCAGGGGTGGATTTTTTGCAGGCAGTTTTGGAGGTGGAGGGGATACATAAGAGCCAGAGCGCCTTGGAGAGCATGGGTGTGTGGGAAACATCTACACCACACAGGCCAGGGTGGCAGCTGCTGTGGACAGGAAGGGCGGGCAGCAGCCGCCGTGGACAGGGAGGGCAGGCACCTGCCGAGCAGGTTTCATGGCTTTCCTACAACATGACTCACCTGCCTTTGAAAATATGTCACCAACTTCCTGATTCCCCTGGAGAAAATCCCACGAGATCTCAGTGCCCCTGGGGTTCAGGTCTTTTGGATTTCCTTTAGGAAAACAAAGCGTACCTTCAAAACCCCTGTTTCTGGCCAGAGCAGGTAGGGGTGTGCTTACCAAGATGTATTTCTCTACCTCCCCGAACCTCAAAGTGAGGGACCCTGTCTAGGGAGGGAAGAGAGGCAGAAACATGACAGGGACCCTGCCAAGCTCTGCACTCTAGCCTGGGCAAAAGAGTGAGACTCCATCTTAAAAAAAAAAAAAAAAAAAAAAGAAAGAAATTTTTGTAAAGTGAAAAAGGACCCTGGTTCCTGGGGCTGCTGTGAGGCTAGACCTTACCTTCCTGCTTAGGGGCCACTGAAGGCAGATCAAGGCCTGAGACTGGGGCCATGTGGTGTCACTGCTGCCTTGAGAGCAAGGGACAGGGATGACGTGCATGACTTGCTCCAGGCAAGCTTGGCATCAGTGCTGGCAGCCTTGGCAGTGTGGGCACAGGTGGTGGGAGCTGGTGAAGGGGGCGAGCAAAGCATCCAGGCTACTGAGCTGTGTGGCCTTGGGCAGCTCATTGCCCTTTCTGGGCCTGAATGTTTTCCTTCTAGCCCTGTTGAGTGCGAGCGGGTGGGCTTTGCCCCTGAGACATCTGTCTCTTCTAATGAGAAGCCATCCAACATGCTTTTACTTGGTTTCTTTTCTATTTTTAGTTCTTAATCTTGGTGTTTTCCATCATAAGAAGAAGATTCTGGGACTATGGCCGCATTGCCCTGGTGTCAGAAGCAGGCAGGTAAAGACTTCATCTAGGCTATGAGCGTGCATGTTTGTATGTGTATATGTGCTTGTGTGCCTATGAGCGTGTGTATGTACGTATATGTGTATTGTGTTTGTGTGTGTGTGTGTGTGTGTGTGTGTGTGTGTGTGTGTATCTCCCTGGAATGGGCTGTGGGCTTATGAAGCCCTTTGTGTGGGCAGGACCCACACATGACATTGCTATTAGATTGTGTTCGTTGAGTGTATCTGCCCAGTCTGTACCAATAGTTGTTCTTTGCTCTTCACCACAGACCAACAAGGTTGGCCCTTCTACCCTCATTGTGCTCACAAAACAAAACAAAAAAAAACCTTAGGCCCAGATGCTCAGCTCCTTCAGGGCTTCTGTTGGGCCAAGACCATGAACCTTGTTGGCTTCAAACTGGTTGTTTTAGATACTGAGGGCTTTCATGATCTTCTGAAGAGGATGCCCATTTTCTTTTTAAGTGATCATCTTTGAAATTAATTAGCATGGGGTCAGGACTGGGTGAGGATCAAGAAGGGCAGCAGAGCCCTCAGGGAGCTGCCCCACCCTCCTGCCAGGTCAGCGCTGGCTTTGGATGAGTCTGTTACAAAGCACAGGCTCCCTCGGCCAGGCCTCAGGTCCTTCCAGTTCTGCCTGGGGCTCTAGGATTCTCTCTTCATGTCGCCTGAAGCATGATAGTGAATTCTGGATCTGTACAACCAGATGTTCCAGCACCAGCTGGCTGTTTGTGCCCAGGATCTTGTGTCAGATGTGGCAATAGGAAGTGAGTGATGAAAACTCAGGGACTGGCCCCAGCTGCTACCCAGAGCCTTCCCTGGGCCCCTCAAGCAGACCTTCCACTCTTGGGCCCCTCCTGACATGTGGCCTGTGCGGCAGGGTCCTCTGAACTGGGAAGAGGAAGTATACCTGTAAATGCACTGTTCTTCCCTATGATCTCTGCCCTGGCATTTGCTAAAGCCTGAGGTGATGACCTTGGACTGTTGGGGAGAAACTTTTGGGACATCTGATGCCTTTACGGCACATTCAGCTGGAAGTGGGGGCCACATACTCTGGTAGAAAAGACCACCTGGGGATTAGAGGCCCTGCTGCATCCCTGGCTGTGCGACCTTGGTCAAGTCCCCAAACTTATTAGGGTTGGTCTCCTCCTGTCCCCTCTTCCCCATGAGGTCACTGTGAAGGTCAAAAGAGACAGCATCTCTGCAAAGGCTTTTATCATGTTTTTTGTCATTAGAAGGGGGACAGTAGAACCAGGAATAGGAGACTAAAGAAAAGCAGTCCCAGCCAGGCATGGTGGCTCATGCCTGTAATCCAGCACTTTGGGAGGCCGAGGCGGATGGATCACCAGGTCAGGAGTTCAAGACCAGCCTGGCCAACATGGTGAAACCCCATCTCTACTAAAAATGCAAAAATTAGCCAGGTGTGGTGGTGGGCACCTGTAATCTCAGCTACTCGGGAGGCTGAGGCAGAGAATTTCTTGAACCCGGGAGGCGGAGGTTGCAGTGAGCCAAGATCGTGCCATTGCCCTCCAGCCTGGGCGACAGAGTGAGACTCTGTCTCAAAAAAAAANAAAAAAAAAAAAAAAAAGAAAGAAAAAGAAAAGCAGTCACATATAGTGCATGGGGTGTTTTTATGGGAGTACTCACAAGAAAGGATCTGATTAAAATGCCACAATATAAAGTGTCATCATTTGTCAACTCTAAAATATATGTTTTGGCATTTTCTCATCTCTGAAACTGGGAGGCATCTTGTTATTGATGGTGATTGTAGTTTACTTGGCAGCATTTTTTCTTTAGTGGTTCATAAAATAATTATGCAAATTAAAACCAGTGGTATCTTAGATTTGATAAAATGCACTATTTATTCCAAGTTTTACTTGATAATATTGGGAAATAGATTGAAAATAGGCAACACTTTGAAGTCACTTTAGCTGGACCAGTCACAGTGGTGTGGTTTCTGGGTGTGGGACACCCAGGTGGTCTGTTGACCCCTTGCTGTTAATCCCATATAACATAGAGTTTTATACCACACCTGGGAATGGTCATTGTCCTTGTCTCTGTCTTTGACTGAGTGAGTTATCTTTCATTCCAGCCATTGAGGACTGATAGCTTTGGTTCTGAGCTCTAAGAGGCCGCAAAATACTGGACATGATCTTTTTGACTTTTTTGGTTTTTGTTGTTTTTTTTTTTTTAAGAATTATCTGTCATTTTTCTCTTTTTGTGTCTCTAGTGAGTCCAGATTTCAGAGATTGTCATCGACTTCCTCCTCAGGGCAACAAGACTTTGAAAATGAGCTGGTTGGTATCTAAGGAACCCTTGTGGTCATGACCAGGGTGGAAACTGGCAGTCATGGTTTTGGGGAGGGAGCAGGGTGGATCTTGAGTGACAAATGCTGGAGAAAGTGCTTCTCTGCATCAATGAAGGCACCTGCACTTGGGAAATACCCCAAGAGAGATGGTAGCTGGATGACCCTGGATCCTGAGACTAGATGAACTTGCAGGCCGGAACGGTTACAGAATCCCTTTCGCTTCTCCAGCACTTATCTTTCTTACACGCATGGTTTTGTGTGACAGTTAATTATGAACTTGCCAGCTGGATTATGAGCCAGATGTGGGCAGGAGCCCTGCCTTCTCCAGCCCTGTTCCCCAGTGCCTAATGCCTAGCAGGTGCTTAGTCATTGTTGAATGAGTTATTGAACAAATATTTGTCTTTCCTAGCCGGACAATAGCCCAGCTTTAAGGGTGTTAAGTTTGAGAGATGCGAAGGATGGTGAAACTTACAGATACCCTTTCCCCTGACTCCCACTCCAGCGGACCGTACATCTGTTAGGCTTGCTTCCTTTCTTGTCCCACCTCCTGGTCAGTGATTGTAAACAATCAAACAGCAGCCCACATCACTTGCCACAGAGCTGCCCTGAGTTTTTGTGATTTGATCACGAAATTGTCAAGAGATTTTAGCAAGAATTCTAGGCATGTGGTGTATATTGTGAAGTACTGGGTGCATGCTTGCTGAATATGGGACAAAATCACTGATTTTGTACAACAGGAGGTTAAATCGTTAATGTCAAAGACAATGGTTACATCTGCCTCCCAAAGGCACGGATGTTGGAAGCTAATCCCTGTTCTCTCTGTTTCCAGGGATGCTGTCCCTGGCTGACTGCGATCTTCCGTCTGCAGTGAGTACACCATGGGGCAGCTGCTGGGGGGGCCTTTGGGCTTTTTTTTTTTTGGTATTTGGCCAATCCAGGGAAAAGAGCCAAGATGCTTGATCCTAAGATGGGGTCTCTTAGATACTTTTCAGTTCAGGTCCAAAGCAGTATGTGAGGGCTGAGAATCAAGGTGGGCAGGCAGCCCGTGGGGTCGGGGCAGCAGGGAGGAGGCCTGTAGGATTGGAGCCTCCATGCTAGAGGGTACACAGTCCCTGCTGGAGCCTGGGGCTTCCAAAATTGAGGTGGATCCCAAGAATTCTTGAAGATAGAGATGAACTTCATTTATTTCAACATATTCAGTGGAAATCATGTTCATCTCTCATAGTACTACACAAGATAATTAAAGCTATTTTTTTGCTTTAATTATTCTACTTAATATTTAACACCGATTACATGTCAATTTATCTCTTCTAGGCAGGTTTGCATGTCTTTGAATTAGTGAAAAGTGAAGAAATATAATACAGTCAATTCATTTGGTTACAAGTATTTTTTTTTCAATGAGGCCCATGGAGAGAAATCTAAAAGATGATCAAAGGTGGCCGGGCACAGTGGCTCATACCTGTAATCCCATCCCTTTGGGAGGCCAAGGTGGGCGGATCAGGAGTTCGAGACCAGCCTGACCAACATGGAGAAGCCCCATCTCGACTAAAAATACAAAATTAGCCAGGCATGGTGGCTCATGCCTGTAATCCCAGCTACTTGGGAGGCAGAGGCAGGAGAATCACTTGAACCTGGGAGGTGGAGGTTACTGTGAGCCAAGATTGTGTCATTGCTCTCTAGCCTGGGCAACAAGAGTGAAACTCCGTCTCAAAAAAAAAAAAGATTAAAGGCGATTAAGAGCCTGTTAGTTACCTCTGATATGGTGAAGGGAGCCAGGAGGTGGGGGCTGATGTGAGTCTTGGCTCTTACCTTGTGCCATATTCCATCAAATCTAAGAAGTCCTCATTGTAAGGTGCATGTTATTTTATACAGCAGTAAGAATATGTTTCCAGCTAAGCTACCATCAGCCATAACAATAGGGTACATCTCATTTCAGAGGAGTTGAAATATGTAAAGGACATCTTAAAATTGATGAAATATGGTGGTTATAGGATATTAAGTCCCTCTTTCTGGGCCTCAGTTTCCCCAACTGTAAAAGGAGGCTGAGGCTAACACGAATTCAGCCTAATTCATAGGAGCTAATACATGTGAGAGCATGTTATAAATGGTCGGTTTGGTAGGAGTTGTTCCCAAGGGAACTGGCAGGAGACAGAGCCCTGTGGGAGACAGTCAACTCTGTTGTGGAGCAAAAGGAAGCAGGAGGAGAGTTAGTTTATTGAGAAGCAAGAACAATGTAGTTAATTGCAAAGCATTGCCCTCTAGATAAATAGTAATCAGGACTCATATGAATAGGCATATTTCTGAGCATCTGCTGATACTACGTATAGCACTAGGTGTTTGATGCTTATTATCTCTTTTGAGCCCCTGCTAAGCCGATGAGGTAGGCAGTGGGCAGTTTCCTTGCTCGAGGTCAGAGGCAGGTAAGCCATGTGACTTGCTATCAGGTGGAGACAGCTGCACTGGATTCCACTGTGGTCTGACTGCAAAGCCCACACTGACATCTTTCAGATCTGCTTTTTTATGATGCAGCCCTTGCCTCCCTGAGCTCTTCCCAATGTACTGCTTTCCCAGCCTAGAAGCAGCACCTTCAGGGAGTGGGAACGATCGGAGTACCCTGCCCCTTCTCCCTTCGTAGCACAGAAGTCTGGCTTGTGTGAACCTGGAATTTTCTGAGTCTCCAGTGGCCCCAGAGCCTCCAAGTGTAGCACTCCAAGGGTGGGAAAGGGTGGAGCAGGTCACCTCCCCTTCACTGGGGACAAAGGGAGGAGGCCGGGCGGTAGGATGGACTGAGACTCTTGGCTCCACCTGTTGTTGCCAGCTCACCTGATGGGGAGACAGGAGACAGGTGGGGGCCCGGGGCCTGGGCACATTCCCAACTTTATTCTTTTTTTTTTTTTTTTTTTTTCCTTTTTTGAGATGGAGTCTCACCCTGTCACCCAGGCTGGAGTGCAGTGCTGTGATCTCGGCTCACTGCAACCTCCACCTCTCGAGTTCAAGTGATTCTCCTGCCTCAGCCTCTGGAGTAGCTGGGATCATAGGTCTGCACCACTATGCTCGAATAATTTTTAAAATTTTTTAGTAGAGACAGTTTCACCATCTGGGCCAGGCTGGTCTCTAACTCCTGACCTCAGGTGATCCACCTGCCTCAGCCTCCCAGTGTGCTGGGATTACAAGCGTGAGCCACTGCACCTAGCCCCAACTTTATTCTGAATGTGATTCCTTAGAAGTAGGACGGGCTGTGAGATACCTGTATTTACATACCTTTCCTACACACGTTACTTGGGCGCAGATGTTTCTAGCAACATCAGATGGAATGCTGGTGTTGCTTTTCCTAGAGCATGGCATAGGGCCTAAGATGGTGGGCTCTGGAATTTATATCATGTGAGATCCTGAAAGTTACACAAATTTCCTGTACCTTTATTTCCTCATATGTGACCAAAAAAGTGGGGATAACAATCGAACCATCTCATAAGATTGTGGTGAGGATGATGTGAGACACTTCATGCAGAGCCCCGAGGGCCTGGCCTGTTCCCACTGCTCATTAAGATTCCACATGTGTCTTTGCCAGCGATGACCAGATCCTGGAGTGGTGTGGGGAGGACGCCATCCACTACCTGTCCTTCCAGAGGCACATCATCTTCCTGCTGGTGGTGGTCAGCTTTTTGTCCCTGTGTGTCATCCTGCCTGTCAACCTCTCGGGGGACTTGCTGGGTAATAACCCTTTTCACCCTTGTCTATGTTGTAATGGGGCAGAGTGGCAGTCCTAGGGAAAGGGTTCTCTCTGTGGTAGACCAGAATCCCAGGAATTATGCTCCAATTCAGATGTAAGATGGTCTCAAGGTGACTCTCTGAACATTTCCATCTATTAAAGATCTGGAGAATAATCTACCCCAAACATAGGCTAAAACTGGGGCCTGATATCAATTTCTGGTTCTATATAAATAGGGAAAAAAAGCCCTCCAAGATGTACAGAATCGGGATGTCAGAGAGTCTTTTATACTTTCCTGCCCTCACCCAAATTAGGAGGTCACAATGAATGGACCCAGAAGATATCCATGATACTTAGTCAGAATCAGAATGCGGCATTATATCTAAGGACAACTGCAAGAATCCAGCTTCCAAAATGCCAACATGAATCCATTTAGGATACTCGGTGGTTCCCAACATTGGTTTTGTAACAACATAGGATGTTTGTAGTTTTCTCAAAACAAAATGAATTCACATTTTGCCTTTCCCCGCAACGGAAGGTTGAGAAGTTATCAGGGAGCATGTTGGTGTCAAGCAGAGGCCTTGATGGTGTAGCTCTGGAAAGACCAGCCAGACCTTGTTGTCTTCCTGCTGGTCTAGACATGCTCCTCCTCCCCTGAGCTCCACAAACCAAGGCTGATTGATTACGTTCCCTCCTGCTTCCCCACATGACCCTGGAACTAAGTATCTGTACTTCTCTGCAGGCAAAGACCCTTACAGTTTTGGGAGGACAACAATAGCAAATCTGCAGACTGAGTGAGTATGGAGCCGGTGGGTATAGGTGCCGATGGGTGAGACCAAGGAGAAGGCAGCTCGGGAGCCCGGGGCAGCCAGAGGTACTCCAAAGAGGGCTGGCAGGTGTCTGAAGGCCCCTTCAGCTGGTGTGTTGCTGAGCTGTGGGCATAACATGCCACAGGCAGCCAGTTTTGCCAGGGATTTAAGAAACATGGAGAGTCCCGTGGATTGGAGGGGGACTCATTTGTCAGGACAGGGACATGGACAAGGACCCCTCTGAAGTATTCACCATGGGCGGAGGGGTGTTGGCCACACAGCCTCTGTGGGAGGTATCTCTTGCAGTGAAACCATTGGTCCTCAGCTCAGTGCCCATTGAGGGTAACCAGGCCCCAGCTCTGCGCCCCCAGCTCCCTGCCTGGGATCCCAGCCCTGATGACAGGTGGTTTCCCCCTCAGCAATGACCTCCTTTGGCTGCACACCATCTTCGCCGTCATTTACCTCCTCCTCACTGTGGGCTTCATGCGACACCATACTCAGTCCATTAAGTACAAAGAGGAGAGCCTGGTGAGTGAGGCGGGGCTTGGGGACACATGCTGGGAGGGGCTCAGGTGGGAGACGAGGCTCTGCGGCAGGCAGGCCCTGACAGCAGTGACCTCTGGGATGGCCTCAGGAGCCCAGCTTGCTTATTCTTGCTCACACTTGGCATGATCTTTAAAAAAAAATTTCACAGATTCTTTCAAGATTTTGACAGTTACTAGTGCTAAGAAGTTTGGGTTGAGAGCAGTCCTTTCTCTTTGCCACCCAAAGCTTCACAGGCGAAGGGTGCTTCTGTAGCTTGTTTCCAGGCCTGGGTCCTCCTCTGATCTGCTGTGTGAATGCATTTGAGTCACTTCCCCTCTTTCTCAGTCTCCTGCCATGCAAAGAAGGCTCATACAGTTGCTTTGGAAGTGGATTCTTTGTATAGCCTGGAAGATGATGCTGTGTGAATGTCATGCTTCTGGGCTTCCCCAGGACACAGAAGGAGAAAACTGGAGCCTTCTGATTTCCCATTGTTTACTTTCCAGAGGCTGGAGTGGGTTGGAAACCTGAGCATACCTGCACACTGGCTCACCAGTGACCTCTCCGTGCTGTGTTTCCCCGACAGGTGAGGCGGACCTTGTTCATCACAGGACTACCCAGAGATGCCAGGAAGGAGACTGTGGAGAGCCACTTCCGGTGAGCAGGTGGGGTGGGAGGGGAGCTGAGCCCCCTCCAGGTAGGACCAGCACAGCCCCCAAGGGGCAAGCACCTTAGGTGAGCGCCTTCTGTCTCTTGCTTGGGTATCCAGGTGAGATCTGAGAAGGACCTGGCCCTGCCACACATGTATGGAGTGGCTCCCGTGTGCCAGTTCTGCAGGTGCTGTGCAATGGATGGTGCCGTGGTGGCCCGTCCTCTTCAAGCAGCCTTGTACACATGTCCAGAGCACAGGCCAGGGTGGTGTAGGTGCAAATAAGTGTCTTGAGAGTATACAGGGAAAAAAAAGATTGTTCACCCTGGGGTTCTTAGCATCAGCTTTGCAGAATAAGAGAGACATGAGCTGAGCATTTGCACAGACCCACAGGGCTAGGGTCTCACAGGTGGAAGGACCTCGGGGCCATCTCTGCGTTTGTTGGTTTGTCCACCCGCTCAGCAGGTGTCTGTTGAGTGAGCACTGTGTCCGAGTCCAGGCCCTCCCTGGTAGAACCTCCTTTCCGGCAGCTTCCATTGAGTATCTGCACCACCAATTCCTGCAAATGGAGGCTGGAGGAAAGGCTTTCCTGTGAGGAGATAATGGAAAGGCACAGAGCAGGAAAGGTGATGGGGTGGGGGCGGGGCACGCAGGCCAGGGAGGCTCCCAGGACCCTGCTGGAGGCCTGAAGACTGCGCTCAGGGGCTGACATTTTATTCTTTCTTCCTTTTTTTTTTTTATTATCATATTTTTTTAGAGACAGGGTTTTTGCTCTGTTGCCCAGGCTAGAGTGCCGTAGTGTGATCATAGCTCACTGCAGCCTCACCTCCTGGACTCAAGGGATCTTCCTGCCTCAGCCTCTCAAGTAGCTGGGACGGTAGACACATGACACCACATCCAGCTAATTTTTAAAATTTGTGTGGAGATAGAGTCTTGCTATGTTGCCCAGGCTGGTCTTGAATTGCTGGGCTCAAGTGATCCTCCTGCCTTGCCCTCCCAAAATGTTGCAATTACAGGAGTGAGCCACCACACGTGGCCTCTCTTCCTTCCTTATCAATTCAGCAGCCACTAATTTGTTGCATGAACTAGAAGTTGGCTATACTTTAACTTTGCACTATTTATGAAGAAAGCACTTGCTAAGCAAATTACTAGACAGAATCGTAAACTGAATGTTTAAAATTTGAACAACTTCTTCAGAAACTAAATAGTTTAGAAATATTTACTAATATGTAAATACTCGATACCAGAATCATTTTTCTCCGTTTCCTTGGAGCAACTCCCCAAAGTTGCCTGCTAGGCAACACCTGGAAACAGTAATTCCACTGAATGTATAACTTTAAAGAGACAGAGTCCCCTCATTCTCAGAAACATTACACGGCTCATGCTTTCCCCTATTTTAGGAGGCCTTTTAGTGACACTACTGCAGTTGTAGGATTGATGTGTGAATTTGCCTTTCAAACAGGGATGCTTAAATTGCAGTTTTCTTCCTCACAGCTCTTATTGGGACCAGAAATTGTCCTCCTGTTTAATTTCATGATTGACATGCCTGTGGGCTCTCTCTCTCACTAAAATATAAGCACATCCAGGCCCTGTTACCAGCACCTAGAACAGTGCCTGGGAGGTGGTAGGTAGGGATTCACATGGTTCTGAATCCTCTGGAATTGTATGTATAATTTTGCACATATGGTGAGGGGGTGTTGCATTGTGGCCACCAGCCAGGGTTGCCTATATTCACCTCCTGGCTCAGACACTCGCTAGCTATGTGATCTTTGGTGCACGCCACTTTACCTCTGTGGGCCTCAGTTTACTCATCTGTAAAATGGGGACAAAATTCACAGGTTATGATGAGGATTGAATAAATTGATATATTTTGCTGGTGTTTTTTTTTGTTTTGTTTTGTTTTGTTTTTGAGACAGAGTCCACTGTGTTTCCCAGGCTGGAGTGCAGTGGGGTGAGCTCACTGACTGCAACCTCCGCCTCCCAGGTTCAAGCAATTCTTATGCCTCAGTCTCTGAGTAGCTGAGATTACAGGTGGACACCACCACACCTCACTAATTTTTGTATTTTTAGTAGAGGTGGGGTTTCACCATGTTGGTCAGGCTGGTCTAGAACTCCTGACCTCAAGTGATCCACCCGCCTCAGCCTCTCAAATTGCTGCAATTACAGGTGTGAGCCACCATGCCTGGCCTTGCTGGTTAATATGTGTGTAGACGTTTTCTGGTTCGAGGGTCCTTTGCTTTCATTAGACCCTCTGAAAAGTCTGTGACCTTCAAAAAGCCTACCTGAATAGGATTTCAGTGGTGGCTCAAGGTAGATACTGTCCTAGCACAAATAAGAAATCTGTTCCTTTGGTTCTTTAGAGGGGACAGTGATATGTTTATTTTTCCCCAGGAGAAGTGCCAGCTGACTGCAAGCCAAGTGGGTATAAACTTGTCAGTTCCAGGCAGTTAGCTTCATACTACTAAAAAAAAAGCTGGCTGGGTGCAGTGACTCATGCCTATAATCCCAGCACTTTGGGAGGCTGAGGCAGGAGGAGCACTTGAGGCCAGGAGTTCAAAATTGGCCTGGGCAACATAGCAAGACCCTGTCTCTACAAAAAATAAAAATCAGCCTGCTGGCATGCACCTGTAGTCCCAGCTACTCAGGAGGCTGAGGTGGGAGGATTGCTTGAGCCCAGAAGTTGAGGCTGCAGTGAGCCATGATTGTACCACTGCACTGCAGCCTGGGTGACAGAGACCCTGTCTCTAAACAAAATAAAACAAAAGCCCTCTTTGTATTAAATTTCAAATTTTCCCCCTTTTGGAGGATAAAAGACAAAAAGAAGAGAGATGTCCGCTGACACAGAAACCACCAGCGAGATCCCTCTGCCATCCTTTCCCTTGGATCCACGGGCCTGTCTGCTGCTTGGGGTTCTCTTTTCAACGGCGTCTTTTGCCTCCTTCTCTCCTTGGCCACAGGGACGCATATCCCACGTGTGAGGTGGTGGATGTCCAGCTGTGCTACAATGTGGCTAAGCTAATCTACCTGTGCAAGGAGAGGTGAGGGTGGGTGGTGGGTGGGGCTGCGAGATGCCCACTCCTTCCTCACTGGCCTCGCATCTCCCAGCGAGGAAGGGAGGAGGGCGGCCCTGGACTCCTCCTCCTCCCCTGGCTGATGGTTGAACTGTGGGTGTGGGGGTCCCTGCCACAGGATTATGAAACTGAAGTGTATGCCCCCGCTCCCACCTCTGCAGAAAGAAGACAGAGAAGAGCCTGACCTATTACAGGAACCTGCAGGTGAAGACAGGCCGGCAGACTCTTATCAACCCCAAGCCCTGTGGCCAGTTCTGCTGCTGTGAAGTGCAGGGCTGTGAGTGGGTACGGGTCCCGCTCCCCGGCTGGGAGCGCAGGCATTGGCATGGGGGTGCCCCAGACACCTGCACAGGGCCGTGTCATCCCAATGGGATGTATCTTCTGGCAGGAGGATGCAATCTCTTACTACACGCAGATGAAGGACAGGCTGCTGGAGAGGATCACAGAGGAAGAACTTCACGTCCAGGACCAGCCCCTGGGAATGGCCTTCGTCACCTTCCAGGAGAAGTCCATGGCCACCTAGTGAGTGAGGGTACAACCCAGGCCCCTTCTTGGCTCCAGATAACTCATTGTCCCTCTTGGGTAGAGATGGTACTGCTCACCCACCATCCCTGGGATTTATCTGTGGTGTTTCCTTCTCTTCCCTCAGCCACCCACACTCACTTTGGCAAGCCCAGCCCATGTTTGTGTGACAGGTGGTGGGGATATGGGCAGCAGCCCCGGAGTGGGTGATTCTGGCTGACCCTGTTGAGCTGATGCAGCCTGGCCTCACTGCCGGCTCTTCCCTGCTGGCCTGGACCCATCCTGTGGGCTCTGTGTGCCAGCTTTCTCCCAGGGGAGACGGAGACACCCTCCTTCCAGACATCTGCTGTGGACCACAGATCTTTCTGTCTGTGGCTCCCCCACTTCCCACAAATGCAAAGCTGTGGGGAAGACCCCTGGGCATGCTGGGGCACTCACGGCAGTGGGGAGCTTGGCCTGGGGAGTGGCTTTTCACAGTGGCCCTTGGCATGGGGCTCTGGGCTCTCATGCCTGGGATCTCTGTGTCATCTCGCCTTAGGAGCAGCAGGGGGTGGGTCGGGAGAGGGGTGCAGAAAGGAGATGGTCCAGCCACTGCCTCTCCCCCTGCCTTACCTGCCCCCCACACCCGGCATTGTGACCCTAAGGATGGACTCATGCAGGACTTCCTGCAGACACTGGGGCAGGAGGAAAGGGGAAGGCATCTGAGGCAGGAGGGGGGCTGCTGGGCTCCTTATGGGAGGAAAACCTGTGATCTGTTGAGATGGTGACGGTCGAGGCGGGAGCCCTGAGGAGGGAAGTTTGGGAACAGGCAGTGTGTAACATGGTCTAACGCTACCCTTGGGCCTGGGGAAGAAGTGACAGAAAAGGTGAGCCACTGGCCTGGCAGTAGCATTGGATCAGAGCTCCAGCTTAACAGGCAGGGTGGAGGGGGATGGCTCTGTGGAAGAGCGGTGTGTTGGGGTATGCTGCCCTCAGTTTCCTTATCTGAAAAATGGGAATAGTACTCTCTTTCTTGCTGGGTGGTGGTGAGGATTAAACAAAATTCTCCACACAGTGTGCTAGCATGGCGCCTCTTACATAGCATTACTTATAATCCACTAATGACAACAAAGCAAAGGTCCTGTGCCACTGCCTCCCACTCCTACTCAGTCCCCACTTGCCACATGTTGTGTGGTCACCGGAGTAGCCTGGGCCTGGCTGTTTCTACATTTCCTGGCAGCATCCTGAAAGATTTCAACGCCTGCAAGTGTCAGAGCCTTCGGTGCAAAGGTGAGCCCCAGCCATCCTCCCATAGCAGAGAGCTCTGTACCTCCAAGTGGACAGTCACGTTCGCTGCTGATCCTGAGGACATCTGCTGGTGAGCTCCTAGACCAGGGAGACATGGGAGGGAGGCCTGGGTTCCTGGTGGGAGCTGCCTGGCACCTGGGGCACAGGTGTGACCTCACAGTCAGTGGAAATCACACATCTGCAACTTTCCGGGCCATGATGCCGTGATGTGCTCAACGTGGCCCAGCTGGGGTATCCGCCCAGCACGTCCTGCCAGGGTTCCTCCCTGGCATTCAGGTGGCGTCCAGCAGAAATATAATGCCACCTCTGCATGTAATTTTAAGTTTCCCACTAGTCATGCTAAAAAAGTAAAAAGAAACAGTTGGAATTAGTTTTAATAATTTATCTCGCCCAATATATCCAGACTGTTATTTCAACATGCAGTCAATTTTGAAAAATGTGACATGTTTTACATTCTCTTTTTCACACTTAGTCTTCAAAATATGGTGTATATTTTACAGTTCTAGCACCTCTCAATTCACACTAGCCACATTTCAAATGCTCAATAGCTGCATGTGGCTTGTGCAGAGACTTATTTAGGTCCAGTGTCAGCCTGGAGCCATGCTGGTGAGCTGAGCTGTGTCCACGGGGGCCATGGTGAGCCTCCAGCACTGTGTTGAGGGTAAGGGCACCCAGCGCAAGCCCCAGCGTGCTGCCTGTCCCGCCCTGCCTCAGCTCCTTGCAGCTGTGCCTTCGATCCTTTGTCCCTGCCTTCCTCCTCCCTGCACCACAGCCCCCTTGGGAAGAATGTGGTGTTAGTCACAAAGCATTGCCAAGCTCACGCCTGTAATCCTAGCACTTCGAGAGGCTGAGCAAGGCGGTTTGCCCGAGCTCAGGAGTTCAAGACCACCCTGGGCAACGTGGTAAAACCCTGTCTCTATTAAAAATGCAAAAAAATTAGCTGGGCATGGTGTCTGTTGCCTGTAATCCCAGCTACATGGGAGGCTGAGGCAGGAGAATTGCTTGAACCTGGGAGGCAGAGTTTACAGTGAGCTGAGATCATACCACTGTACTCTAGCCTGGGTGACTTAGCCAGACTCTGTCTCCAAAAAAGAAAATAAGTGCCATGCTGGAGCCTTATTTGGTCTGCTTGGGTGCCCATGCCATTTCTTTGGGTAGATTCTGGCCCCCAGACTCTAGCTGGTGAACCACATCTGAGAGAATAGCCTTTGTTCCCTCTGAGCTCACAGGTACCTAAGATCTTGCCTTTCTGTAGCTGAAGGTCAGTGCGGAGAACTTGCCCCCAGGCTAGTCTCTTGGTCTACCTAAATCTGACCTTCTTATCCACCTAAGTTATGAGCACTGGGAGATAAGTCTCAGGACCTGTGTCCCCTCGCCCCTTGCAGGAAGAACCTCTCTATCCAGGGCCTCCGCTGGTGGCTACAGTGGCTAGGCATCAACTTCACCCTCTTCGTGGGGCTGTTTTTCCTGACCACACCCTCCATCATCCTGTCCACCATGGACAAGTTCAATGTTACCAAACCCATCCATGCGCTGAATGTGAGTAACTGTTCTGCAAGGCCCCTCCCAGGAGGGCTGGTGGGAAGAGGGCTTGGTGGGTGGGGAAGGAAGTGGGGACAGGAGTGGGATGTGTGCGGGAACCAGGGGGTCAAGTTGCTCAGTTCACATACTTGCTTTTAACCTCTATGCAGGCATGGGCACGTTTATTACAATGTCGATATCGTAATGCCATATATATATATACACACACACACACACAGAGATATATACACATACATGTATACACACACATGCATACATATTTTAATAGACTAAACAGTGGTGGAGATATTTGAGTTGAATGAGGTATATTCAGGTTGGTGGAATGTTAAGCATCTGTTAAAAATTGTGCAGACTTTGTGGCTTCCATGCAGGGCTCCTGAAGAAGCAGGGATGTGCCAGTGGGGCATCTTTATCATGGACACTACTGGGAGGGGACAGGAAGGAATGAAAAGAGCTTCATTGATTAGGGTGGCAGGATCACAAATTATTTCCTTTACATTTTAGTTGCTAATGACCTTGTTATAAAACTATTTATTCTGCATAGGTTATAAATTATTTTTAAAAATCTTAGATGAATCAATGAGATAACAGTTAAACACTCCCTCAACTGGCATCTACTCAAAAAGATACTGGGTTCTCATAAGCAGCTTTGCCGAACCATCTCCCTAAATGTCTTTTCTTTTTAAATTTCACTTTGCATGTGGTTAATCATTCTCTGGGAAAGCACACTGGGCAGGAGGGCCTCCTGGCCCTCACTTTGCCATTCCCTATCTGATGAATTCTGAGCCTCAGTTTTTCATCCAAGAACTGAAGTTAAAACACTTGCCCTATTATACAGCACGTGAGGTTGTTGTCATGATAATCAATGAACTGATGCGTGGTTGAAGCTCTTATCTGACTCTGCAGATAATTTTAAACTACCTAAGTATAAATCCAGTTTTGTTTAAGATTTAAAGCAGGTATTATAAATATGCATTCCTTTGCCAATCTTTTAGTAGAGGGACTGGCCTATTCTTTTGAGGATGAATCTGCTGATGAGAGCTCCCCTTTGTCTATTTTACATAAACCACACCCTTATTTCACTGTTTTGTGGTTCCAGTGTTGGCTTCTTTGAGGAAGAATTTAGATACTTGCAGAGCCATTCTGAATATTAGAAACTTCCTAGATCTCATATTATCATTGATTTACTCTTATCTAATTAACAGCATCTTTTTTTAGAAATTAACTTTTATCAAGTCTGCCAAAGTATCCAACTTAGTTTTCAAAGAAAATTTCTATTTTTATATCCATCTAATCAGTGAAAGTAATAAATCAATCAGATCATGTAATCACAGTAACAAACAGCAGACTTGTGGACACACACAGTGGAGCCCTGATACACTGCAGCTGGACCAGTGGGAGCTGAGCAGGCAGGCAGGCAGGCGCAGCGCCCCCTCCACCCCCGCCAGGACTCCAGGCCTTCAGTGTTCAGTCTTCCCGTGGGATCAGTCATTGGTTTTGTATAGGGAACAGAGAAGGTTATTTAATCTGGTTAGTCAGGTAAGTGGAGTTTAGTTGTATGTAAAATTGCTTTCTTTGCTGTGCTGTGAGGAGCTATACAGATATAAGGTGCTGTTAGTGATTATTCAGCCAACAGTTATGGTACCAACTCTGTACCTGGCAGTGTCGGTTCTGGGGGTCAGAGGTGACAGATTTCTACCGAGGGAGTCCCCTGAGCGACCACGTTAATAGGTCATGGCCTCAGAGCCATGTGGGCCATGGTCCCTGTGACTCTCTCTGTCGTGGACCTTTCTCCTAGGACCCGATCATCAGTCAGTTCTTCCCCACCCTCCTGCTCTGGTCCTTCTCGGCCCTCCTCCCCTCCATCGTCTACTACTCTACACTGCTGGAGTCCCACTGGACCAAGTGAGTGCCCGGGAGCCCCGAGGCCCTGCCCCTAAGAAGAATGCCTCTGGTCGCTCCCTTGTCCACACCCTTCCCCCAGCTGCTCAGGCAGTGGGCACATGGCAGAGGCCTCACTGGGGGTACCTGGAGCATTTGGGGACTGCGAGTGCTCACCTTTGACGTCCTGCAGGTCGGGGGAAAACCAGATCATGATGACCAAAGTCTACATATTCTTGATCTTCATGGTGCTGATACTGCCCTCCCTGGGTCTCACCAGGTATATGCCACCACTTCCTCCTCTAAATTCAGTATCAGTCACATCAGAAGAGCACTGTCCCTAGGAGATTGAAAATGGTTTGGTAGCAGAAGCAAACCTCTAACAATATCTAAGCCTGTCGCAGCCACTTGGCATGCAGTGGGGCTGGTCACTGATTCTTCTGGCAATATGATTATTCTTCTTTAAAAAAGAAAACACCATATTGGTCAGGCTGGTCTTGAACTCCTGACCTCAGGTGATCTACCCACTTCAGCCTCCCAAGTGCTGGGATTACAGGCATAAGACTCTGTGTCCAAAA